TAGAATAGAATAGAATAGAATAGAATAGAATAGAATAGAATAGAATAACAGAGTTGGAAGGGACCTTGGAGGTCTTCTAGTCCAACCCCCTGCTCAAGCAGGAGAACCTATACCATTTCTGACAAGTGACTGTCTAGTCTCTTCTTAAAAACTTCCAGTAATGGAGCACCCACAACTTCCAAAGCCAAACTGTTCCTCTAGTTAATTGTCCTCACTGCTAGGAAGTTTCTCCTTAATTCAAGGTTGCTTTTCTCTTTGGTTAGTTTCTAAACATTGTTTCTTGTCCTGCCCTCCGGTGCTTTGGAGCAGTGGTCCCCAACCTTTTTTATGCCGCGGCCCGGTACCGGCATCAGCTGGGCGCCGCCATCTTGTTTGGATGAAAAAGTGCTTCCGGTGAGCTTTTTACCCGGAAAAGCTCACCGGAAGCACTTTTTCATCAAAAAAAGATGGCGGCGCCCAGCAAACCAGCGGCCCGGTAGGATTTGTTCCACGGACCGGTACCGGTCCGCGGACCGGTGGTTGGGGACCCCTGCTTTGGAGAATAATTTGACCCTCTCTTCTTTGTGGCAGGCCCTCAAACACTGGAACACTGCTATCATGTCGACCCTAATTCTTCTTTTCCTTAGACTAGCCTGACCCAAAACCTGCAGCCGTTCTTCATATGTTTTAGTCTCCAGGCCTTTGATCATCTTAGTTGCTCTTCTCTGAACTTTCCCCAAAGTCAAGAATGTCAAGAGAAGGCAACACTTGTTGACTGGGGAATACACACATATCTGGCAGGGGATGGACCACAATGGTACAAAGTGGGCAAGGCTGTTGCCCCACATGTGACTTGGGCCATGTGCACAACCATAATCTTACGCTCAGAGCAAGCTCCATCGGTTCCAACAGTTGAGTTCCTGACAGCCTGTAGGACATAAAATGCTACTTAGAACTTCATCAGCTTTAGATATCCCTCTTTCCTCCCCTGCTGAGACCTCCCCCCCGCTATCACTCACGTTATCAGGCGTGATCTGGAGCTCTGTGGGACCAAGCATGTCTTCAAATCATCCCCCGCGGCCTCTCGTGCTTGCGACTCCAAGATCTCGTTGAGGCTGTTCTCTGCGGAAGGACAAGAATCAGCTCCTACGGTGGACAAGGTCTTGGTGCTCGGCTGGAAAGGATCGCCGCGGTCCAAATGATATGAGCGTTTTGTGAGCGTGGGAGAATCCTGCAAAGAAGAGCGGCCCACAAAAGGGTTAAAGGCTGGATCATCCCACTGGTTGGAGTCCACCGGGGGAGTAGCCTTGGTCAGAGGTGCCACCGGTGCCTCAGGAGCTATTGTCTTCTCTCCATCCTCGGGACCGACAACTGGCCGGTCGGTGGGTCCTCTTTGTCTCTTAGGAGACAACTTACTGATAGGCCTCCTTCCCATTTTTCTTGCTGGAAGCTTCTTGGCCTCGACCTTTTCTGCTCCTTCGGCAAAATCAAACTCTAGTTTCGCGGCCCGGGTCTTGCCATCTCCAGCTCCTGCTGAGCTGGGATGCTTGGGGTCACTGTTTGGAAGATCAACCCCTGGCTGAGATGCAGGAGGAGAGTTTGGACATTTGGAGCCTCCCATGGTAAAGGGGTTCACGGTCTCATTGTATTCCTCTGGATCAAAGCGGTAGGTAGCTTTGGGAATAGGGGGGCTTTCCATGGTCACTTCAGTCTCGGAGTTCTCTCCCCCCATTTTCTTTTGAAGAGCAATTGGTTTCGCCCTCGGGAGCTTGCTCTTGTTACTAGCAATGTTCTCAACACTTGACTTGACTTCTGAAGGCTCTTGAATGGGGATCTCTCGGCTTTCCTTCAAAATGTCCCTTTGCTCCTCTTGGGACAGCGTGCCCGAAGTGTAGTCTGGACTGAGCCTCTCAGCAACAGTTGTCTCCTCTAATGCAGAAGAAGACACGGATGGACCCTGGTCAAGTCCAAGGTGGGCTTTTGATATAAATGGGTCACTGCTTGGCACGATTGCAGAGTCAGTCTGTAATTCATCCTCTGCCGAAGCTGATGTCTCCTCCAACACTTTGGAGACAAATTGATCTTCCAGAGATGCTGCATGGAAGACAGAGGAAGAGAGAGGTGAATATAGAATATGTTTCCTATAGGGAAAAAAACCCAGCAGATCAATAGTATTTATTTTTTTAGCATATAGCATAATACATGGATAGCAGCAAAATGGAAAGAACGCATCATCATAATTCCCACATAGGATGGAGATATGTGGTCAATTGTGTAAGGTATAAGAGATTCAAGAGTATATTAAGTTACAAATTACATTTTAAAATACGTCAGTTCATAAGAAAGAAATAAGTGTTCTGTATATTAGTATCTAGGCCCAAAGGTGCTTTTTCAAAGGGCAACTGGACTTTGTTTTTCCTTGAAGATGTTTTGCTTCCCATCCAAGAAGCATCTTTAGTTCTAAAAAAGTTTTTTCATCCAAGAACTGAAGAAACTTCTTGGATGAGAAGTGAAACATCTTCAAGGAAAAACAAAGTACAGTTGCCTTTTGATAAAGCACTTTTGGGACAACCATGATCGGGATGACTGAGAATCTCCACAGACAATAGTCTCAAGGTATATTCCATTTCCAGCAGCCATAACAAGGTGCAGAGAAGATTTCCTGTAGTAGCTTACACCCTTGCATAAATTATGCACAAAGGGGCAACCCCAATTTGAGAATGCTCCGTCTACAAAAGTTTTTTCTCATATCAACGTAGTGCCTTTTCAGGATGACAGAAGACAAAATGCCCAGTATGATATTTCATATCTTGGACATTTATCTAATTAAACACAATATTTGTTAGCTGGAGAAAATTTGCATTTCCTCCTGTATAAGTTCGCACATAGCAGCTAGTCACTATATGATCAAGTGAGGTACTAATGCCATTCTATAAAGCCTTAGTAAGACCACACCTAGAGTGCTGCATCCAGTTTTGGTCACCACACTATAAAAAAGATGTTGAGACTCTAGAAAAAGTGCAGAGAAGAACAACCAGGATGATTAGGGGACTGGAGGATAAAACATATGAAGAACGGTTACAGGAACTGAGCATGGCTAGTCTAGTGAAGAGAAGGACCAGGGGAGACACGATAGCAGCCTTCCAATATTTGAGGAGCTGCCACAGAGAGGAAGGGGTCAAGCTATTTTCTAAAGCACCTGAAGGCCAGACAAGGAATAATGGATGGAAACTGAACAAGGAGAGATTTAACCTGGAAATAAAAAAGAAATTTTCTGACCGTGAGAACTAATGGAACAGAAGTTGCCCTCGGAAGTTGTGGGAGCACCATCACTTGAAACTTTCAAGAAGAGATTGGAGTGCCATCTCTCAGAAATGGTGTAGGGTCTCCTGCTTGGGCAGGGGGTTGGACTAGATGACCTACAAGGTCCCTTCCAACTCTGATTAAATCTGTTATCTAATCCAGTGTCTGATGAGAAGCACTGCGGTCACAGTCGGGGGAGAACAGCCTGCCCCATTTAAATGGAGAGTCTTGACAGATGCCAATTTAAGATGCCATTCCTATTCAAAGTTTTCCAACCCTTGGCAGGTAACATTGAAACCCACTAACTTTCCTGTCAGGTCAGTTATGCTTTTTCCAGAGTCTGGAGCACCAGTTTTCAAACAAGGCACAGCTTTAAACTCCGGCCTCTGATGCAGAATCCTTTTTCATCCAACTTTGAATTGGAGATGCAGCAATCCGTATTTATGTTTGTCACCCTTTAAGATAGAGAGAAAATTCATGTAGTTGGGAATGTAGAAAAGATTATATAAATCCATCTACTGAGAAAATCAGCAAGCCAGAGAGAAAGATTCCAGCCCGATCTGTTTCTTGATTCTGCAGATTTTCTATGTCCCTCAAGAGATGATGATGATTATGAAGAATTATTAGACTTTTCTAAGAGAATCGTGGAAGTCAAAATAGTACAGCTCAGATAGAAATGGGCCATCTTAGAAAGTGTGTTTTTCTAATCTACAATAACCTTCTTATATCCACACCTTTGTAGATATTCTTTTATCTCATCCCGAAGATCGCACTTGGCTCCTGAATGGCGCGCTAAGAACTTCTTTCTTCCTTGTTAATCATTGGCTGAGATCTCACAGACGTGGAAAAATAAAACCACCCTGCCTTATAATTCTCAGAGAGGATGGAAAAAAGAATTTCAAGCAAAATCTAGAATGATCTGTGAGATAGAACAATAGTGTCGTAACCAACTGCCAAGCTCTTGCCGTGGCTCACAGCCAAGTTAGTGACATTCCCAAAGATTCAGAGTAAGAAAGTTTACTGGTTAGATCATCCAGTTTTAGAAACAAGCGTACCATAGGAATACAAATAATTCCCTTGATTTATGACCCACAACTGAGACCATGATTTCCATTGTTAAACAAGGCAATTGTTAAGTGGGTTGCGTCTGATTTTTATGACCCTTTTGGTTGTTAAGTGAATAATTACAGTTGTTAAATAATCATAAGCGGTCATTAAGCAAATCCAGCTTCCCCCATTAACACTGCTTGTTGGAAGCCAGTTAGTAAGGTTGCAAATCTTGGAGTCTTAGTGGACAACCAGCTAAATATGAGCTAGCAGTGTGCAGCAGCAGCCAAAAAAAGCCAATTCAATCCTAAATTGCATTAACAGAGAGATACAATCGAGATCAAGGGAGGTACTAATACCGCTCTATAAAGCCTTAGTAAGACCACACCTAGAGTACTGCATCCAGTTTTGGTCACCACATTATAAAAAAGATGTTGCAGCTCTAGAAAAACTACAGAGAAGAGCAACCAGGATGATTCAGGGACTGGAGGCTAAAACATCTGAAGAACGGTTGTAGGAACTGGGCTTGGCTAGTCTAGTGAAGAGAAGGACCAGAGGAGACAGGAGAGCATCTTCCAATATTTGAGGGGCTGCCACACAGAGGAAGGGGTCAAGCTATTTTCTAAAGCACCTGTAGGCCAGACAAGGAATAATGGATGGAAACTGAACAAGGAGAGATTTAACCTGGAAATAAGGAGAAACTTTCTGACAGTGAGAACCATCAACTAATGGAAGAGAAGTTGCCTTCGGAAGTTGTGGGAGCGCCATCACTTGAGACTTTCAAGAAGAGATTAGACTGCCATTTGTCAGACATGGTATAGGGTCTCCCGCTTGGGCGGGTGGGGGGGAGTTGGACTAGATGACCTATAAGGTCCCTTCCAACTCTGATCATCTGTTAATATGTTAATGGTGATCACATGAGCCCGGGATTCTGCATGGCAGTTTCCAACTGCCCAAATTTTGATTCAGTGACTGTGGAAATCATGTGAAGGTCATAAAATCAAGGACCAGTCATACGTCATTTTTTCCAGTGACACTGTAACCTCAAACAGATGCTGAGCAAGTGGTTACAAGTCAAGGATTATCTGTATTTTGGCGTTCATTTATCAATGTGTAAGATGGGGTTTCCCTACTGATTTTGTTTTTGTTTTTAAATTGACCCACAGTTTATTGGGGAAGATGCAAATCACTTATTTGTTACTGCAAAAATCTCTGCTCTCCTTCTGCAATGTTTTAGAAACATTTTCCCAGAAAATTCCATACACTAAATCTCAGGGCTGACACATGCTTCAGATTTAAAGGGGAAAATGTAGCTCTAGAGAAGTGGAAAATTCACATAGAGAAGTGGAAAATTCTTCTCCACAGCTCTTTAAACCAAGCCAATCTTCCTGGCTTTAGGGACTTGAGGCTGAAACATACGAAGAATGTTTGCAGGAATTGGGTATGTCTCGTCTAACGAAAAGAAAGACTAGGGGAGACATGATAGCAGCGTTCCAATATTTGACAGGCTGCCACAAAGAAGAGGGGGATTCAAATCAGGAGTGGGATTCTACCAGTTCGCACCTATTCGCTAGAACCGGTTGTTAACATTCTAAGCAGTTCAGAGAACTGGTTGTTAGAAGAAATTACTGGCCTAATCCTGTAAGGAAGGCAGGAAGGAAACATTCTGGGGTTGCTTACAGAAACTGCCTCTCCGTTAACCTTTATTACATTCTTGGCAGGACTAGACTTCCTGTCTCAGGAACTTCTCTGGAGTTTTTTCCCCTTCTTTGCTGCTACTTTGCTTGTGTGGAGTGACCATTCAAAGTTACAATGGCACTGAAAAAAGTGATTTATGACCATTTTTCACACTTATGACTGTTGCAGCATCCCCACAGTCATGAGAGGCCAGGCGAGGAGATACGTGCCTCGATGTGAGTGATGTTGAGTTGGCCACGCCCAGACAGTCACATGACCACCAAGCCATGTCCACCCAGACACATGACCACCTAAGCCACACCCACAGAACCAGTTGTTAAAAAATTTGAATCCCACCCCTGAGTCAAACTGTTTTCCAAAGCACCAAAAGGCAAGACGACAAACAATGGATGGAAATGAACTAAGGAGAGAAGCAACCTAGAACTAAAGGAAATTTCCTAACCGTGAGAGCAATCAACCAATGGAATAACCTGCATTTAGAAGTTGTGGGTTGCTCCAAGAGGCTTTCAAAAAGAGACTGGACAACCATTTGTCTGAAATGATCTAGGGCAGCGATGGCTAACCTTTTCCACGTCACGTGCCTGCACCCATGACGCAATGCGTGTGCAACCCCCCCGCCCCTTGCGCAGGCATACGTGACCCCCTGAGTGCACACGGCACGCCTCTGGCCATGCGCATGCGACCCCCCCTGCACCCTGCACCCTGCACCTCTGCGCATGCACACACACACCCGACACATCTGCCCCGCCCCCTGCACAGGTGAATGCACCTCCTACATGCGCATTTCTCCTGTGCATGCATGTCAGATACCCAACAATCAGCTGGCTGGTGGTCATGCACAGTGGGGCTCTTCTAAGTGACCTCTCACGTGCCGGCAGAAATGGCTCAGCGTGCCACTTCCAGCACGCATGCCATAGGTTTGCCATCATAGATCTAGGGTTTCCTGCAGGGGGCTGGACTAGAAGACCTCCAAGGTCCCTTCCAACTGTTATTATTCTATGTTCTATGGATTCTCTGCTGCCCTGGGAGGCTGCAGAGCGATCTCT